TTTTTTTTTTTTTTTTTTTTTTTTTCTTTCCCGAGCGGATTAGGGGAGCGTCCCTTTTCTCTTTTCGTAAAACTTCCGAAGGGTAGAAGGACGTCTGCCTCTTGTTAAACCCACGCAATAAAGGAACAAGTTCTAACGCACCCTTCAAAGCATCATCAACTTAACGTTAAATGAATTCAGAATTTATTCGATCTCCTTTTATGCAGATTGCGTAAAAATCATGCACTTCATTCTTGCAAGAAGAAGAAGAAACGATGTGAATACTGTCGGTGCACAGGATGCCTTTGCAATGTAAATAACATGCGCGCGCGAATGGTGGTTCCTTGTGAGAAGGTAAATTGAAAATGTAAAGCTTTGCACCACGCGTTTTGTTTTCTGAGAGGAACAGCTTCATAATCAAGATTATGCTTGTGTTAGCTGTAAATTTCGATGAAATTTTATTAGAGTATATATTCTAGAAGCGATAGCAGTTCTTATTAGAGATTTAGGCGATCATTGATTTTATTTTCGAAGAATTGAGAGAAGCAAATTATAGTAGTACATTGCGAGTATTTTATAATTTGGTTCAAAGTATGCGGCCGATGTATTAAATTTCTATGAATTTCTACACTATTGAAATTAACTTTATTTTTATTTATGTATGAAATCATTTGAACCAGATACAATGAAAGAAACTAATAGTACAATTTTCTTTTTATTAAATATTTTAATTTTTCAAGTTATTTTGATATACAATAATTGAAAGGAGAAACATATTTACAAATATCATTAACTAACTTCGGAAAGCAAATTTTCACTAATTTACTAGATTTTTCTTTCGCTGAATTTTTAAGTTTATTCTAACATACAATAATTGAAAGAGAAATTATAAGCTCATTCCCCTTCTTCATCATTATCACTGCCAAGGCTTGATACATATTTTCAGAATTATTTTTTTCAAAAAAAAAAAAAGATGTAGGAAACTACATTGTCTACATTTTCAGTTTCTACTTTTTCACGAGGGGTCGTCCCTTGCACGGTTGCAGCACGATTGCAAAGACACGCTGCATTTTTTGTTCGAACACACCACTCGCGATATAATTATCTCTGGTACGTTTCGTTTTTCTCTACGTCCTTGGCACTGCTTATATTTAATCCCTCGAACTTACCCTCGCATTGGCCGTCTCTTTCTGTTTCTAAGAAGCCCCCAACCACTTTGGAGGATTTATTTCAGAGCAGCAGATTGCCGGGGCGGGTGAGAATGTGATTTAGCGCGACGAAAAAGATTTCCAGATACCCCTGAGACTGCGATTCTCTTTGCGTGTCTGCCTTTTAATTTTGCATCGATGTAACTATCCCTCACGGAGATACGTGTACTCTCGTCGGGGCATTATCTGATCTCAGATGAAACGTGACAACTGACAAATGATCGATCTGAACTATTGTGTAAAGATTTGTAAGTGTTGACAAAAGAACATAATGTAACTGAGATTTGAGAATTTTTCATTCAAAGCTGCAAAAGTATAATATTTGCAGTTTAATGATGAATTAATCTAATATATATTCGTACCTTTTAACGATATTTACTCTATTTATTTCGAATTGAGTACTTGATGATTCAAAATTTCTTCGACGAAATTTCGATTAGGGGACTGAGAAAGTCAACCAGATCTGCCTATCATTCTTTCAAACAGAAAGCTTATAATTTCCATGTATCTAATACACGTCAGAATAGACGATCCTCTTTCAGAAACTACCCGCAATGGAAAAATTTAATCAATTAATTATTCATCGTCCTATAAATCGCCTTTATATAAAACAAGTCGTGACACGGACTTACTGGACGATCTACTAAATAAAACATAATCTTCCAATATGTGATAAATACGTAACGAGTAACCACTCTAATATTTATGACCAACAATCTAAATATCTTTTCGAAGATATTCCTAAAAAAACTCGGAGCTTACAGCGTTACGGCATTCTCTATCCTGGCAAGAACTAGGACAACCATATTCATACGCTGTTCGTTATAGTTTAAGCGGGTAATTAAAACGCGCGACGACGGCATACATTAAAAAAGCTGTAGGCACACAGTTGTTAAATTAAGCATGTCGTCTGAATGTCGCGAAACACGCGACACCGATAAGACGAGTTCTCTTTGTGCTTTTCCTTCCGTTGCAATTTTTTTTTAATCACCGCTTCATCGTCCCCCTCGGTGAAAAGAAAAAAAGAAACGCACGAGACCAGGGTCTCGCGGTAAATCTTGTTTATTCAGCACGCGATGCAGAGAGA